AATACCCAATCAGCACACGTGAGAACCAGGGGAGGCAAGGGCAAAGCTGGAAGGGAAAAGTGGATGGCTCCCCTGCTGGACAGCCACTCCCACTGCAGACCATCAGTTGCGATGCAGGCACACCAAACTGGACAGGGCTACAACACCTGTGGCCTCATGTAAGCCAGATCAGGGAAGAGCCAGGCTGGGCTGACTGTCCCTACTGGTGCAAGCATACAGCACAATGGGTGAGGGTTGGTTGGGCTTTGCCACAGCTTCAGACGAACATGCTGGCACTGGGGGCTAATTCTGTCAAGCTAAACTGCACAACCACCTGGAAACTGCATGATCCAGAAGTAGGCCCAGGACAGTAATAAATGATGGGCCCCTCCCTCTTGGGTCACCATTCCCACTAGAAAACCAGTCCTGAAAACCAGGACTGGGGCAGACCTGGCTGGACAGAGTGGCACTCACCAGAATGTGTGGGGGCTGGAGAGTGGAGCTGGTTGGGTTGAACTAGGCTTCAATGCCCACTGACATGCATGAGAGTTGAATGGGATGTGGGACAGGCTGGGCCAGTTTGCTGTACATACTGGCAAGCACGGACACCAGGGCAGGGGATGGGCCTGGTGGGGGTTATTGCGGGTTGCTATGACTAGGCTGAAATTCCCAATGATTTTTTTTTTCCCCTGAGGGCCGAGTGTGTGCTGGGCAGAATCAGGATGGACTGCAACACCATTTGGTTCATGTGGAAGACAGCGCTGGAAAGGAAATTGACCCAGCAATTGCAACCACCAGCATATGCATAAGCTGACTCGGGTGACAAACCGTGCCAGACCCTGTACTGGCATGCACACACAAGATTCTATCCTGGAATCACCTCAGACGAACTATCGCTGGGGATTCCTCCAACTCAACTGCTCATCTCAGAACACTAACCATGCACAGAAGTGCAGGTTCCGTGGTCTGTTCATTGGGTGAAACATGGTCTGTTCATGGAGGGGTGGGGTGATTCCCAGTGCCCACAACACTGTGTCACATAATGCAATGTAATTAATAATTATTTTCAAAAAGAGAGACAACTGAAAAAGTCACCAGAAAAAAAAAACAAAAGAAAAAGAATATGAGGGATAACCCTCAAGACTCTCGAATCCTCACAAAGGACTATCAGTACGGGCACCAAGGACTTCATCCCAACAGCCAAGGAGAACACGCGGAATGGCAGTGCCTCTGGAGGCCGAGAACTCCGAGGTCACCCAGCCCCGTCTGGATCTGCTACATGGCATGGAAGAAGCACAAATCCTTCCTCACATGATCCAAGGTCCTCGGAACAACAGCCAGGAGCCCAGAGTCGTCTGCAGAAACACAACAACAGTAGGCTTCCTTCGGGACCAGGCAGAGCAGCTTTTTCTGGTCCTTACTTAGTTCCTACTTGGATCCCCACCCTCTCTTGCAACGACCATCAGGGTCGCTCCGGATCCACTGCCCCCACCCCCAAGAAAACTAGAATAGATACACAGAAATACAAGCAAAGCTTAGAACCAGACAGGAAATGGTCAGCATGGATCCACATATACCTTACAAGTCAGGAAACAAATGATTAGTTACTCCTCACTAGGGGATTGGAGATTTCTCTGCACACCCCTCCTAAAACGCTTCTGCACCTCAACTGTTGACAAATGCCTTGTTGAAGTTACAAGCCAGTTTAGACTATCCTAAAATCTGCCAAGTTCAGCAAAATTATGCTTCAACACTGTAAACTGCCTAATACTAAAATGAAAATAGACACGAGACAGCTGAAAGCACCCGATAGCCACTTCAAGGTGTATAGCAGCCGGTCCTGTGTATCAACAAAAATTGAAATGTCAATGAAGTAGTCACAGGATGTGGTTAAGAACTTGCATTGTTTTAGCATATTGATGACTCAATACCATGTCAATTCATTCCATAATGTTGCAAACTGTCGTTGATGTTGTGCTGGGGCTTTCAATTGATAGGGATGACATTCTGCCAGCTCTACCTTTAGACCAGAGAAGGTCTCCCCAACAAACTGCTGAATGTATCTGGACAATAAGATGCTGGACTCTATGCTTGGTGTATGATTGCAATGAAAGAATCTGGACTTAACTTGAACTGTAGTACTGCAACAAGGTGGAGGAATCCACACTGAGCGGAGGGCAAGGGGAGGGATTGGGGGGAATCCCAGAGCCTATGAAACTGTGTCACATAATGCAACCTAATTAATTCAAAAAAAGGGTTTGGGTGAAAAACATTGAGCAAAGCATAGCCTTACCCATTTTCCTGTAGCCCTTGACCCTTTCTTGCCCTAATCACCCCTGTGAAGATTATCACAAATAAAGAAAACAAAAGTCATGGGTATCCCAGGAGGTATGGAAAGGGAAGCTGGGGTTCAAGGTGTATTCAACCAAATAATAGGGAAATTTTCCCTAATCCTGTGAAAGAATTAGAAAACAACACCCAGGAAGTGCACAGAACTCCCAACACGCTTAACCAAAAGCGATCTTCACCACAAAACATGACTAAATATTAGAATGAAAATAGACACAAGACAGCTGAACAGTAATCTAGAGCCATTTTGAGATGTATAGAACCCGGCTGTATATAAACTAAAATGGAAATGTCAATGAAGTAGTCACAGGACGTGGTGAAGAACTTGCATTCTTTTTTTTTTTTTTTAACATATTGGTTACTCAATACTATGTCAGTTGATTCCATAATGGTATCAATTTTTGCTGATATTATGTTGCGGCTTTTAATGGATTGGGATGATACTCTGCTGGCTCTCCCTTCAGACCACAGAAGGTCTCCCCAACAAGCCGTTCAACTTCTCTAGAGTACAAGGGGCTGGACTCTATGCTGGGTATATGCTTGCAAAGAAAGAATCTCAACTGAACTTGAACTCTGGTCATGCAACAAGGTGGAGGAATCCACCATGGGCAGAGGGGTGGGGGAATCCCAGAACCTGTAAAACTGTGTCACATAAAACAATGTAATTAATAAAAACAAAACAAAACAAAAGAACAAACAGAAAAGAAAAAAAAAAAAGAAAGAAAAATGGCAATTAAACTCACAGAAGACCTCTCACAGGAAACTCTACTGGCCAGAAGAGAATGGAGCAACATCTTCCCAATCCTCAAAGCACAAAATGGTCAGCCCACGATGTCATACCCAGCTAAATTTTGTCTTCACAAATGAAATAAAATGCTTCCAAAGCAAAGAAAAGGGAAAAGAATTTGCCTCTTCCAAAACTGCACTACACAGAAGACTTAAACAGGTTCTCTTGACAGAGTAAAGGAATACCACCCACCAAAACCAAGAACATCCCAGGAAAAGAACAACAGAAGACTCAATCAATGAACAACCCATTGCTAAAATGACAGGACCAAATTACCACCCATTTACACTAACACTGAAGAGAAATGGCTTCAACTCCTCAATCAAACGTCATAGATCAGTAGACTAGATCTAAAAGAAAAACAAACACATCTGTTTCTTGCCAACAGGACACATCTCTCACCAACAGAAACTAGATCTCATGGATTTTGGAGAACTGGGCCTCCTCACTTGCTAAGCCTGAGCAGTGGACAGCATGCCCAGATGCACTTGGGGCAGATGGCAGCTCACCCAGGTCTGCAGAGGACATTGAGTACCATGTAGACGATGGGAGACAGAACCAATCGGACAACTCTCCAAACCAGGCTTTAGCATCAAGCATCGGGGCAAACGGACACTCTCAGGTGGACAATGTCAGCCAGTGGACCTTGGAAGAATTTCCTCATTCTTGCAGCAACAAAACCAACAGCCTTTCAGAACTATCACAACCCCTTGCGCAGTGCCCTCACACCCTGATCCACATCTGGGACCCTGGGATGATATGGGGTGGCTGTCCTCCACCCCCCGGCACTCATGCGGTTAGGATGCTGGGTATGGCTTCACCTCTTCTTCTTCCCTTTCCCCAAGAACAAAGAGAACAAAATGAACATCAGAAGCGATGGTGTCATGCACGGGAGCCTATTCCTCCACCCTTCCCATGGGATACACTGGTACACATGGACATGGATCCATCTCAACTACATCATCAACACCAAAATAAAATCATTTTATCAGACTTGTAGTGGATGAGTAGGGAGGCCAGAGGCCTGGAGTGTGGCTGTGGACAGTGTGGTCAGAGATGGGGTCCTGGGTCAACCAAACAAATGGTCCACACAGGGTCAGGTGTCAGGCAGGTATGGCAGTTACTCCTGCGATGCTTCGAGCTGGTTGCCAGGTTGGAATAACAGATGACATCAGAGGATTCCGCCCCTCCTGATTGGAGGGGCCACACTCACTGGCACCTGCCAGCACTGGCTAACAGCATCTTCTCCGAGCTGGGCTTCAGTGTTGACTCCCACGCTGAGGAAGATACGACACGGTGCGCTTGAGCCAGCCAGGCTTGATCGGGAAGGACTGAGAGAGATCAGGGTGTGGGTCCGCAACAGGGAGCCACGGTTTTGAGAAAGACCATGGCCAGCTGCGAACCGGACCCCCAGATCGAGGACTGTCCCCTGGAGGCGCTGGTGGATGATGAGGTCCCAGGACCACCAGATGAGGGGCCCGAGGGAGCAGGTGACTCACAATCTCACTGGGGAGGAGGAGGGTGGCAGCAGTCCTAGGGAGCTGAGGACAAGTGTGATGGCAAAGAAGGCCTCGGGGGGTCAGGATTGGAGGAGAGGCCTCCAAGAGGAGACCAGGATGCCCACAAGGACACAACCCCAGGGAGCTAGGCACGGCAGTGGGGGGATTGGGAATGGGGCAGGTGTCCTGGCTTCCATTACAGGCTAGAAGACAGGCTGGGCAATGTTGGGTGTTGGGAGTGGTACCAAGTGTGCCATGTGTCAAGGAGCAGGCGGCCTCAGGAGGAGGCCCCAAGCTGGGGCTGGGGAGCATGGCAGCTTTCAGTTATTCTGTGGGGGCCAAGACTAGAGATGGCCCGTCACGACAGAGCCTATTCCTTCCCACAGCCCCACACGTGGACACCAGCTCCCAGCCCCAGAGTTCTGCCGGCAGCACAAAGAGGCCTTGGTCCACAGCCTTCTCCATCTCGGGCTCTGACTCCGAGACGGAGGTGACACCTGTGCTGCAGGGGCACCAGGCCTTGGACCTGCAGGGCGAGCAGGCTTCGCAGCACAACCCAAAGGCGCTGATAAAGAAGCGCACAAGGCCCAAGGAGAGCTGGGCTGTGGAGTGGCTCCTGGGGCTGAAGATGAGGCTCAAGAAGCAGCGTGTGTCGACGGTGCTGCCTGAGCACCACAAGGTCTTCAACAGGCTGCTCGGTAGGGCATGAGACTGGGTACCTTGCGGGGCGGACGGTGTGATTAGGTGGGAAGGGACAGGTCCTGGGGGACCTGGATGGAGCCTCGCGTGTGTAGCCAGAGAGACTGGGGGCCTGGGGAGAGCCCTGGATCTGCCAGCCTCTCTGATACACATGAGCTCTTGCTGCCCATGTCCACCAGCGGGGCTGCGGAGATGCCGGGCTCAATGTAAATGCTGGGCTGCCTCCCACTGATCACCCCATACAGACTGAAACAGGCCTCAATGGCTCTTGGGCAGCCACGGGCATGTGCCCAGGCCCAGGACACACATCCATGCTGGACCAAGCCCTTCCTCACTGGCAGCCACAGACCCTTGCTTGCCAGCCACATGTGCCCAGCCTCTGCATGGCTGCTGGACCCTTGGCTCTGACCTGACACTTCCCCAGAAGAGGCCAGGGCCCGCCTGCTTCTCAGTCTAACACACTGGCCCCTTTCCCCAGAGGATCCCGTGGTCAAGCAGTTCCTGGCCTGGGACAAGCAGCTCAGAGTATCTGACAAGGTGAGTGGGCCCGACACACGGGGATAGATTGGGTTGGGGGACACAGGGCATAGCACCCCTGCAGTCATCTGCTCCTGCACGTGCCTCCACCCAGCACACACACACAGTGCCTGCCCTTTCCTGACGGGCCCCGCATGTATGACGGAGCCTGTGGCATCTCTGCTCCCCACTGAGACTGCTGCCTCTGTGCCAGGCCCCAGGTCAGGCCAGCCTGGATGTCACAACTCTCGTGGGCATCCCTGATGATCAGGGCCCAGGTGCCCAGCTTCCTGCTCCTCCAGAGCCCTGGGAACCCCAGCTGCCCTCACACAGGGCCCTGGCAGTGGCAAGGCTACACTGAGTGGCAACAGCCCACTGCCCCAATCCCCACCACCCTGTCCTGATTCTCGTCAAGTCATGACTCGTGTCGTGCTGCCCTCTCTCCCTCAGTACCTGCTGGCCATGGTCGTCGCCTACCTCGGCCGAGCTGGCCTCTTCTCCTGGCAGTACAGGCGCATCCATTTCTTCGTAGCTCTGTGAGTATTCTGCTTCCCGACTCTCTGCCCTGGAACACACAGGACTGAGTCCTCCCTCCACCTGCAACAGCAGAGTCAGCTCCAACACCACACCCTCCCTCTGCTTCTCTGGCCTCCCAGCGCTGCTGCCCAGCCCAATTCCGGGGGGACCCTTTCTGATCCCTGACCTGCTGGGCCCAGGCCCGTGTGGCAGGGTCACGTCACAGTGCCCACAGGCTCTTACAGGCTTGGCCCTACTTGAGTGTAAGATGACAGCTCAGCTCCTGCCCTTTTGTGGCACCTCATTCACTCTGCACAAGGCCTTGCCTGGTACATGCCATGGGTCAGAGAGTGTGACAGGGAATGTGGAACTACAAGCTGCATGTGGAATGAGTGCACGGGAGTGGATGGACACGCTGTGTCTGCCCTTGGGGGCACGTCTGTGTCGTTGGGGAGGTGTGTGCACCTGCATCATGGTGAAGGGGTGGGGAGGGGGAGGGCAGGGATGCAGTGCCCAGGGCCCAGGAGGGAGGCATTCTCTGCCAGTTCCTGTCCAGCTACAGGGGCACTGAGGGCTCCCATGCAGAAGCTGAGCTTGGCCAGAGGTCTTCCCGCTGGGCCCGCGCAAAGAGATGGGCTTCTTTTCCCAGCTACCTGGCCAACGACATGGAGGAGGACGAAGAGGACGACGAGCCTCCCAAGCAGGCCATCTTGTCCTTCCTCTTCGGCAAGGATGACGCCCAGCGGCCCCTCTTCGACCACCTGCGCCTGCAGTTCATGCGCTGCATGGGCTGGAAGGCCTGGGTCACCCTGGAGGAGTGTGAGGAGGTGGGTGAGGCTGGGGCGGCTTGAGCAGGACCCAGGAGCAGGGCTGCAGGGCCCGGGCTTGGGATGTGGGGACAGGCAAGAAGGGCCAGGGAAGAGCCTCTGAGGGAACGTTTGTCTTTCCAGATCCAAGCCTATGACCCAGAGCTCTGGGTGTGGGGGCGAGACCGGGCCCTCCTAGCCTAAGCTGCTGCACTGACACCAGTGGTCACCGGCCAGAGGGCAGGTGCGTGCAGGTCCTCGGGGTGGGCTGGGAGGGGGCTGTCTCCAGTCTGGGAGATCTGGGGGCACCCTGAGCTGCACTCCCTTTTGTCAGCCCCACCTTTCTAAACCTGGTCCAGATCCACAGTGGGAGATGATTTGATGATTGGATGGGACTGTGTGCATGTCCACACCTCCCATTCAATTCTGCCGTGCTCTGCAGTCACCCACACTCACTTTCCAACAACCCTCACTACGTTGTCCACTCCAGCATCAATGCTGGCCCCTGACTCCCACCCCTGCCGCCTTGTCCCCTCCTGCAAGCTTCCACCCCAGCAACACCTCCAGCATGGCCAGTGCAGCTGCACAATTGTGTGGCAGCTCTCATGGGGGACATGCATGCATGACTCTCCTTTGGGGTGGGGAGGGCACCAGCTAAACATCTCTATCTACTTTCCAAGTATTCCTATGCTCATGGAATTTGCCAGAACGCGGAAGGGTAAGCACAGCAACATCCTGCGTGGTGGTCACCCCTGACTCATCAGTTCCTGTCAGGGATGGGGGCTGGGAAAGGACGCACCTTGGGCTGTGAGCTGAGTGGTTAGGGTCGGGGATTGGGCATGGGCTCTCCTGTTGGCGAGTGGCCCACCTCAGGCCCAGAGTCAGGGACCCCCACTGACAGGCCGAGGATGGCTGACAAAGACCAGAGTTCAGAACCAAGGGCCAGGGCGCCAGGGAGTCTGTCTCCCAGCCCACCCGTGGGGACTGAACTGGCTGCGAGTCACGTCTGACTGGGTCTCTCCTGCTTCCAGGTCGGTGAGCCCAGGGGAGACGTTCTTCAGCAACAGCAGCAGTCCAGACACCAAGGGCCACTGCGAGACAGGCGACAGGCCTGCTGGCCGACAGTCTGGAACAACCCAGACTCTTCAACAACAGCGTCCCCGCCAAGTACTCCTGCCAGCTGTGGGCACTCCCGGGGCTGTGCGGTGGGACAGGCCTTCTATCCACTTCCATCCTGGCCCGACACTCCATCAAACTGGCACAACTGATCTCCTCCCCTGAGACAGCAGCTGCAGCCCTACTCCTTTATTGATTTAGTCACTCAGTTTCCAACTATCTGCTCCCCACGGTCAAAAACCATCAGAGGGGTCCCACTCTTGAACCCATCATTTGGGTGAATTGCACTCACCCAAATTTTACTCATACTTCTAATGGAGTGCATATTCCATATTTAGCTCTCACATAATGTATACATATTAAGATATATTTTCCTAGAAAAATATTTTTTAAACGCTATTTTTAGAGATAATTTATTAAATTTATTGCACATCGTTTTGAAATAGGGGGCAGAATTGGGGGGGGGCTACGGGGAGTCGCTCAAACTAGGCTGCAGCTCCCACTGGTTCGCGGGAGGACTGAATAGGAAGTGGATAGGATTCAGCTGGACTACAACACACTCGTTGGTTTATGAGGAAGACAGGGCTGGAAACAGAATGGACCCAGCAAGCTTAACGACCAGCATGTGCATAAGCTGACTGGGGTGACGGACAGTGCTGGACTCTGTACTAGCAAACTCACGCAAGAATCAGGTCTGGGATCATCTCAGAGGAAGTTTCTTTGGAGATCCCTCCAACAGAACTGCTGATCTTAGAAGCCCAACCACCAAGAGACTGTCCGCCAGTGGACTCTGAATAGGTTTCCTTGCGATTGGAACTGCGAGACTGGCAGCAATCCAGAACTGATGAACTACCAAAACTGTTTGAGCAGGACCCTCGGAGCGCGCCTCCCCTTGGGGATCTGGCATGGGTGGTAGGTTGGGTGGGGCTTTGCCCGTTGTTACTCCCCTGACCCCAGATACACGGACAAATTATAACATTAGTGTGGAAATAATGCTATTACCCACTTTCGCCCTGTAGCCCTTGACCCTCAGGACCCTAATCAACTAAGTAAGAGTATAAAGAAAAAAAAAATTTATAAAACGCTATTTTTAGAGATAATGTATTACATTTATTGCACATAGTTTTGAAATAGCCACTGTTAAAAGCCCCAACAAAACCTCAGTATCAATATACAACATTATGGAATTAATTGACATAGTATTGGGTAAACAATATGTTAAAAATAATGCAAGTTCCATTCTTCGAAACATCTGGGTTGAGACAGTATCAATGACAGGTTCAAAGAATAACCAACAACCAAACAAAAATTACAAGTTAAATCAAGGCAAACATGTGGTATCTAATCTTTTGGGATTCGCTCATCTGGCTTTTAACTGACCGGATCTTTACTCTGTTAGCCCTATCTTCAGACTAGAGAAGGTCTCCCCAAGAGACCACGGAACTTATCTGGACAATAAGATGCTGGACTTTATGCTAGATATGTGTTTGCAAGGAACGAATCTCAACTGAACTTGAACTGTGGTTATGCATCAAGGTGGAGGAATCCACCATGGGGGGAGGGGTATGGGAGGGGTGGGGGGAATCCCCAGCGCCTATAAAACTGTACCACATAATACAATGTAAACAACAATAAAAAAAAAAAAAAGAAATAGCCACTGTTGTGGAAACGTTGCTTGTATACTGTTGTTGGCATTTTGACTGTTACGTTATATATATATATGGAATTTTGTACAAATTTAAGAATTTTTTAACTCATCTGCCCTGGACACCATGAGGACCGTGGTCAATATGTGAGGGGAGAACATGAACTACACCTCTTGGGGTCTTGTAATAAAACAGTCTCC